CCCCCCCCTTTTCTCTCGCTGTCTGCTCCCCGCCGGCCCCACCCCTCCTTCTCGCGCGCCCGCCCGCCTCAAACTCTAGCAAACAAGACGCACCATTCACAACTCCACGACCCGCGCCGCGCATGCGCCACCCACCCGCTTGCGGGGCCGCTGGGTTGCAGTGAAACCCGGCTCCTTCCGCAGCACAATCTTCCTCCCCTAGCCTGTCCGCGGGCTTCTCCGAGAACAGCCACTCAGAAGGGATCCGCCCCTCCCTTAGCAACTAGGAGCGAGCCCCGAAGACCTTTCTTCTGCCCTTTCTGGGCTATCAGTAACTTCTTGGCTCTCCAGCCAGGCCCTCAGAGTAATCCCAAATAGCCACTTGAATTCGAGGAAACCTAAGTCCTTGAGGACTTTGCATACTTCACACAGTCAGAGAGGGATGTCTGGGCACCCAAAGGTGGAAGTAGCAGTATAGCCGACTCATGGTGGGAAGGTGGTGGCTGTTGGAGCCAGGTGGGCATTAAAGAATCTGGGCATTAAAAAAACAGACGAAGGTTTTAGACAAGCACCACCAGACCAGTACTTGTAAATAAGTCTCAGATTGGTAATTCTCAAAATGCAAGCTCATAAATCCATAGTGTTAGTATGAGAGTATTTATGTAGATCTAGCACATCATTTAAAGAAAAAAAAATCTAAATTATATGTAACCCGTTGCCAGGCTATATTTTTACCCAAATGTGCAGTCAAGTTTGAAACAAGACATCTGTAAGTTCTCGTAAAGTCATTTAGCCAGAGCAGAAGGAAGTCTGAAAGTGTAGCAGAGTTTGATCTAAAGCTGATCGCCAGTGAATCCCGATCCTTAAAATTTCGGTTTGTTAAAAGATCAGTTCAAGGATGGCAAATAGGTGCCAAGTCTGCCAGCGGCTAAGCATTGTGAGGATACACCCGAAGTCTCTAGAATCAGTTCTGAATACAGATTTTGGCGGAATTTTACAACCAGTCCTGTCCAATCTTATTTTATAGATAGAGATCTAAACTTGGGTAAACAACTGTCTTAGTTTTGCCAGAGATTGTCCTTGTTTTAGCAACGACCCCCTTTCCACACCCCCCTCAACCCCCAGGAGCTGTTCAGTTCCTAACAACCTGGGGTGGTTGATCATCTTAACTGAAGTCTAGGGAGTTGATTGCCCAAAGTCAAGGATTTGTTGTTGGGGGTGTGTGTGTGTGTGTGTGTGTGTGTGTGTGTGTTACTTTTCCAGTGCTGTGATAGAATATTATGTCCAAGGCAACTGATAGTGGAGTTTATTGGGCTTACCACTGCAGCAGGTTCGAGTTCATGATGATGGGGCACGGAGCAGGAGCAGGGAGCTGAGGGCTCACAGGGTTTCTGTGTGTAGCCCTAGCCCTGGCTGTCCTGGAAGTCGCTCTGTAGACCAGGCTGTCCTCACAGAGTTCCACCTACCTCTGTCTCCCAAGTCCTGGCACTGAAGGTGTGCACCACCACCACCCGACTGAGGGCTCACATCTTAAAAACATGAAGCAGAGTAAGATATAGGAATGCCAGTGACTTTGAAACCTCAAAGGTGGCCCCTAGGGACATACTTCCTCCAAAAAGACTACATCTCCTAAACCTAGCCAAACAGTGCTCTCACTGGGGATTAACTCTTCAATCATCTGAACTATGGGGGGACGTTTCTCATTCATACCACCATAGTCCAGGTGATGTCGATCAAACCCAGGGATTAACCTCAGCAAGTGCTATACCACTAAGCTATTTTCTCAGCCTTCATGGTTAAATTCTTTTAGCAGTCAAATTTGTAGGCAAAGCCAGGCAGTGGTGGCACACACCTTTAGTCCCAGCACTCCAGGGACTCAGAGGCAGGTGGATCTCTGTGAGTTCGAGGCCAGCCAGCCTGGTCTACAGAGTGAGTTCCAGGTCAGCCAGAGATACACAGAGAAACCCTGTCCCGAAAAAACAACAACAAAAGTATTGTAGGTAATATGTACTTCTTTATAGCCCCGGCTACTTCAGGGCTGTGGCAGGAAGATTTCTGAGCCTAGGACCTACATCAAGAAAAGAACAGAAAAAAAAAAAGAGGAAGGAGGTCCTGTAAGTTGATTGTTTTGAAAGACATACTCTTTTCATTAGCAGATATGGAATCAGCTCCTTCCTTCCTCTGTTCTTTCTTTCTCTCTTTCTTTTTCTTTCCTTCTTTCCTCCCTCCCTCCCTCTCTTCCTTTCTTTTTTGTTTGTTTTT